TCTTTGACATTTAAGCTTAGCTGACAAAATTTAGGCACATTGCGCATCTAGGTGACAAATCCTTCTGCTCGAATAGCCCAAGGACTCACCCGACTGTCAAAGATATCTTTTCTTTTATTGGTGGTCTTTCACAAGCATTAAAGGAGGGAAATTCTGTTAAAAAAAAGGTGCGTAGTTTTTTAAACCAATTATTAGAGTTGGGATGGTGGAGTACCTAAAAAGAGCACTGCTACGAACAGTGATTTTTGGTATTCTTTGCTTATATTTATTTGTTAGATTAAGAGAACGGAATGAAAGAAATGTGTTGAAAATGTAGTTTCTTTTTAAATAAAAGAGGTTTAAAAAATAAGCTAAGATTTCTGGCTAACAAAAATATTGCTCTTTGACTTTAATTTTTTTTGCTTCAAATGCAGGTTGTTGTGCATTACGTGTCTTAAAGTGACGAGTGTCTCGAAAGTTTATACTGTTTTTTGCAAAGACTTCTGCTCTTTATGGAGTTCACCGTTGTAATTTCAGAAGACACATATTAAACGCGAGTGTACTGACGTAAAACCTCCAAAGCCGCCGCATCGTTCCTCAAGTTTTGAAGAGTAAAACTCTTAGTCCAACTGTGTTCCGCCACTCTTCGCTCGTTTCTCCACTTTATTTCTATAATAACTTTTTAGTGAAAACAGTTTAAAATGCTTAAGATCCTTTTTTCTTTTGTTTACTTTGACGACGTCACGTTCCAAAAAATGACCGAGTAAATCTGATTAAGTGCTGAATAGCTCTCATTTTTTTACTAAAGAATTTTATTGGTGAAAAGACCCAAGCTGATCAACTAGCCTAAAATATTTTTACAGAAAGAAGCGTCCTGTTCCGCTCCCAAGATCAAAGAACAAACCAGCTAGTGAGATTCAGGTACAACTTTAGACCTCAACCAGTCAAAGGTTAAACAGTCGATAAAAAGGTGGATTTTGTCTAAACCAAAAGCAATAATTTAGGGGGAGATAATCAGAAATTGAGATAACGCGAAGCTTTTGTAGCGAATAATATCTTAGTTAGGGAAAGCAGAATTAGCATTATGCAGGTAGGGTACTGTCAATTGTCTGAAGACCAAATTAAAAAAACCAAAAAGGCGGCCAGAAAGTACGAAAAAATACAAAATGTTGGAAAATACTTCTAATTTTCCTACGAGACACTTCTATTACGTCGTCGGAAAATTTTAAGCAGTCCTAATTGCAGCCTGAAAGGGGCAGGGCATACTTAGAACCAAGTCCGACAATATACCAAGAAATAATCAAAATCTTATGTCTAAAATCGACCACGCATTTAATACTAACAGCTGCATAAAATGAACTTCAAAATTTTTTCTAATGCTTAGAACTTTTTTTTCAAGTACTTTAATGCCTGAAGATTTTATCTGCGATTGCGCATTATCTTCTAATGTAAATGGTGTTTCAGTTACGAGAAGCTGAAAATGAAAGCTTGAATTTGACGGCTGCGTTATGTGAACTACAAATAGAGAGAGAAGAAAGTGAAATACAGCTGGGAAAACTGCAAAAGGAGAAAAACCAAGTACGTCTTTAAATAGCAGCCGCAATTTATATGACTTTGAGTTGCGTTACCACTCAAACCGCCGAGATAGTTGAGTCAAGCATTTTATTTTATAACACTGCTTGAAAAACTACATATTTAGCAGAAAGGCTTCAGTTAGATTATGTTATGATGTCGTTAACGATTCTACATGCCAAAGGATAATAGTCTGCTTCTAGGACGCAGAAGAGCTGGTGACACGTTTAACTGCAATCAAACAGAAATTAAACCTTAT